CCAGCCAGGTCGGTGTGGCGAGGCAGTCAGTGTAAGCGCGAGGTGAGGCCAAGCGCTAGTGTGTGTGTGCGTGTCTCTCTGTCTGGGATCGCTGCGGCGGCCTCTCGCGCTGGCTGTGGTTCCGCTGTCACGGTGTTAGCTGGTGTTGCTGTGACTGCTACTGCTATGTTGCATGCTGTGATTATGTGCTGCCTTTCTCGAGCCGACGCCCCGGGACCGGATGAGGAGGAGGAGGAAGAGGAGGAGGAGGAGGAGGGAAGGAAGTGCTGGTGCGTGGGCGTCTGTTCCTTTATCGCGGGAGGGACAGCTTGCTTATCTTCCCTTTTGTGTTATGAAAATCAGCTGTCAGACTCGTTTTAAAACAAGTGTCAACAAGCAAAGGAATAAAGGAAATCGGTGCCGTGTTCTCTACCTGTCTGTCTGTCTCTTCATCCTCAGCCTTTACTCAAGTCTCCGTGCTTCTTTCTTTTATGTTTCTCATCCCCCCGATCTACACTTGCGCTCGCTCTTTCCCTCCCCCCGTAAGAAAGAAGAGAGAGAAGAAGAGAAAGAGAGAGAGAGAGAGAGAGAAAGAGAGAGAGAAGAGAGAGAGAGAGAGAGAGAGAGAGAGAGAGAGAGAGAGAGAGAGAGAGAGAGAGAGAGAGAGAGAAAGAAAGAGAAGAGAAAGAAGAAAGAGAAAGAGAAGAGAGAGAGAGAGAGAGAGAGAGAGAGAGAGAGAGAGAGAGAGAGAGAGAGAGAGAGAGGAAGTGTTTCATTGGGGCCACATCGCCTCCCCCCTTCTTTCGCCCTGACCAGGATAAGGATGAGGTGTAGGAGGAGAAGGTGATGGTGTGCCTATTATGGTGTTTATTGAAAGGGCCTCCTCCTTTTCGTCTTCTCCCTCCTCTTGTTCTTCATCTCTCCATCCGTCTGCATTTTTCACTGGCCTTTAGTTCTTCCTTTTCTTTTTTCACCTCTTCCTCTTCTCCATCCTATCTTTCTCCTTTTCATTTTCTTTCTTCTTCTTCCTCTCCTCCTGCACCTTCTCCCTCTTCTTCTTCTTCTTCTTCTCCTCCTTCCTCTTCCCCTCCTCCTTCCTCTTTTCCTCGTCCTCCTTCTTCATCTTTTTCTTCTCCTTCTCCTCTTCTTCTTTCTCCTCCTTTCCCTCCTCCTACGCCAGCACACACGCAAACGAACACGCCATGGGAACCGAGACCGAGCCACGTCATGAATGAAGGAAACGTACGCAACGGAAGCGGATGGCCGCGAGCCGCAAGTGGATTATTTGTGGAACGGAACATCCGCAGTGGATATTTGCGCGGTCATTTCGCCGAGGGCCGAGACAACAGACGGGAAGAGAAGGTCCCTTTGAATCTGGCGGTGTGTTTACAATGCGTTTTCCCCCGAGCAGCGTCCGGACCCGTGGGTTTATCGCCCGTGAGCGGAGTCGTAGCAGTGGGAGTGGAAGTGGAGCAGGACAAGTGGAGGGGAGTGATGCCAAAGGAGATAATCCCGGATCCCTTGTTCTTATCCTTCGCTCCGTGTTCGGCGTAGACAACGGACTCCCTCCCAACCCCCACCCCGACGTACACACATCCCTGCCGTGATTATGGACACAGCATAGCGCCGTGCTGATACATGCTGGCACTTTGGTGTGTGTGTAAACACGTACACACACACGCGCACAAAAACACACACACACACGTATTTATACCTGCGCATATGGCTATGTGTACACGCGTTTTTGAATTGACGTTATTGTTAAAGGGTCATTTAATCCCAATAACTGTAATTATGTCTTGTCAGCTTTGTTTCCACATACGCGCCCTTATAGCAGCGGTCACCATCGAGTCGATTACCTAAGCCTGCCTGAACTCAGCTGTTTGCCCCACTTTTTCCAATAGTGTTACTATGGTTCTTATTATTATATATTATATATATATTATTATTATTTTATTATTATATTATTATTATTATTATTATTATTTTATTGTTATTTTATTATTATTATTATTGTTATTATTATTATTATTGTTATTGTAATTATTATTGTTACCATTAATGATACACTGGAAAAATCAGTTGTTTCCAAAAATTCAAGGAGTGATGTAATGGAGTCATCTACGTGTGCACAGAGTTACTGTGTGTGCACTGAGCAGTCCATGGCACAAACGGACTAACATTGTAAAATACTACAGTATAAGATCTGCCGTAACTAAGTACTAGCATATGATGGTGTGTGTGTACCGGATGTACTCACGGGGCTTACGTTCGTCAGATGCAATTTAACTACACGTACTGACCGTCTGACGTTAAGTAGGCCTATAATGGAGGGCCTAGAAGTAGAGAATAGCGGGTCACTAGGGCGGAAAATGGGCAGGAAGTATATCATCTTTGACCTGTTTACCCATTTACCCCGTTCGGTCTAGCGTCGCTCTTGCCTGACCTCTGCATTCGGCATCCATCTCGTGAGAATTTAAATGTTTTTATTCTTTTCATCTCGCTTCACTGGCGCACTCTAACCTGCGTGCGCACGCGTACACACACGAACACGCACACAAACGCACATACACAGGCGCGCGCACACGCATACACACACACACACACACACACACACACACACACACACACACACACACACACACACACACACACACACACACACACACACACACACACACACACACACACACACACACATATTTGTGTACAGTACATATGGTTCCCATTTTCTCTATCGCTGTGTACGGGAAGACCCATATCTGCAAGTTATGAACGTGTATATGTACCCATTCTTCCATCTGTCTAAAACGCTCACTTTCTTTCTTTCTCTTTCTTTCTCCTCTCTTTCTTTTTTTTCTCTTCTCTCGCTCGCTCTCTTTCTTTTCTCTTTCTCTTTCTCTTTCTCTCTTTCTTTCTTTCTTTCTCTTTCTCTTTCTCCTCTCTCTCTCTCTCTCTCTCTCTCTCTCTCTCTCTCTCTCTCTCTCTCTCTCTCTATATATAGTATATATATATATATATATATGTGTGTGTGTGTGTGTGTGTGTGTGTGTGTGTGTGTGTGTGTGTGTTGTGTGTGTGTGTGTTTGTGCGTCACTGTCATCATTTCTCTCCCACTGTTGACATTCATAGTCACGGGTCTAATTTACAACAACCAGTTTCTGTGTTTACTTGCTTTTCGCTATTTTGTCTCACAAACGATAGAACAAACTTATTATCCTCGTTGTTTTTGTTGTTGTTGGTTTCTTGCATCATAACAATTTAAATAAGAGAGGACGTAACGATTCCTGGAGTTAGTGATGTAAGCGATGATGGTGATGATGATATGGAAAGTATTAAGAACTGTAATTACGGTTCTGACTATCGTCTTCATTCGTTACTTGATTACCGCCATTGGCCAAAATTTTCAGCGCCTTTCGTACATTTTTTATTTTTATTTTTTTCAAACTTATTTATTTATTTATTCTTAACAAAGGTGGCTCGCCGATTCCATCTTTTTGATAAGTAATCTGAGACTCGTGGCTTCGCGTCTCGCTGCTAAGGAGGCGTGACGAAGAGAAAGAAAGACAGAGGAGAAAGAAAGAAACAAAGAAAGAAAAAGTTTCAAAGGGTACCAGTGACGTCATAAGGGACAGGAGTGTGACGAAGGGCGGAACCAGCCAGCGGTCGCGGGTGTGCGTGCGTGCGTGCGTGCGTGCTCTCGTGCTTGCGATTGCTTTCCCATTCATAGATGTTCTGATTGCAGTGGCAGAAAGCGAAATTGATGATGAAAGAGAGACGGAGAAGAACACAGTGAAGGGAAGAGTAAAGAAGAGCGAAACAGCAAGTAGTAATAAGTTACAAGTGCATAGACCTCAAGAAGAGAGAGAGAGAGAGAGAAGATGAATAAAAAGAAATGATTAAGGAATTAAAACGTACATATGTATGTATCTAGATATCTAAATATGTATAAATTATTGTGAGCGGAACGCACAAAACAGCAATAAAGGAGGACAAGCCTGGAGGTGATGATATAGAAGAAAATTTTGTGTCCCTGGCTAGAACATCGTGTGTGGGTGGGTGTTTATGTGTACATGTCGTTTACGGGCCGAGAAAAATAGCCTCGAATAAATAAATGCGAGTGTGAATAAGTGCGAGATACACTCACGTCGGACCTCGAGAGAGAGAGAGAGAGAGAGAGAGAGAGAGAGAGAGAGAGAGAGAGAGAGAGAGAGAGAGAGAGAGAGAGAGAGAGAGAGAGAGAGAGAGAGAGAGAGAGAAAAGACTCTTGTAAAAAAAAAAGAAAAAAAGTGTTGTGAACTCTCTTCTTTTCTGCCGACGGGTCCGGTCGCCGGCTCGAGAGAGAAAAGAGAGAAAAAGAGAAGAGAGAGAAAGAGAAGAGAGGACTCGACGGTCGCCATCACGCTCGTACAAGGTTCAAGGGGACGGACGCCGTCTCAAGCGCTTTTTGGTCACGGTAAGTTCTCGGAGGCTTAGTCGTGGCAGGGGAGGGTTGCATTTTTTTTGTCTTTTTTGTCTTTTCTTGTTTCTTGTTCTTCGTGTTCTTGTTGTCCTGTTATTAATTATGTTACTATTATATGCCCTCGTTTATCTGTGCTATTATTCAATATATTTTTCTTTATCCTCTCTTCTCCCTCTGCTTTCTCCCTTTTTTCGTTTTCTCCTTCTACTTCTTATAACTGTTTTTTTTTCTTATTTAGGAAATATTTGCCGGCATAAGACATGTTGCTTACTTAATGAATTGTCTCTAAAACATATTTGCAAATGTATTGTTTGTAAGTGAAGAGATAAAAGAACGTGTCGTTCCCATAAACGGCTTTTGTTTATAATCATTTATAATTTTTTTTTATATAATGAATTTTCATAATACCGATGCAGAAATAAAGGCGTATCTGTCTATATATCATAGATCTGATAGATATACATTTAAAACCTCTTTCCGGGTTGATATGCGTGTCTAGACTGATAGATATGTATTTATTTCTTTATTTATGTCAAGTATACGGATATTCTTTGGGTCGAGCCTCGCACAATTCTAACGAACCGGCCCGAATGTCCAGTGTAGCAACAAGGCTCTATAGTGTAATAGTCATCTTTTGTGTGATAGTTATCGTCATATGGTTAATAGTGTGTTTCATATTTCATATCTATTGATGGTAAGGACGATAGGAAGTAGAGACAGATTTGTAAGATTTTTTTTGTTTGTTTGTAATTATTAAACGCATGTTTTAGTTTCCCTTGCCGTTTCTTTGTTTGCGCTAATTCCCGTGTATATCTTTGCGAACTCCTCCCTCCTCCCTTCCCCCTTCCTCCCTTCCCTCCCCTCCTCCTTCCTCCCCCCTCCCCTCCCTCCCTCTCCCTCCCTCCCTCCCTCCCTCCCTAAGCGGCGTGTGCCTCATGAGCGTGTGTGCCCCCCCCTCCTCCTCCCCCCTCCCCCCTCCCCCGAGTCCCCGAGCGCGCAAGGTCGGCGATGGCTTATTACTGGGTCAGACCAGAATAGACTGTGTCGCTCCCCCCTTTTGATTCGGAGACCGTGGATAGCGGAGCCGTATTGGTTGCGATTACCGTGTGGCGCGTTTTATGCCGTACTTGGGAGTGGGTATACGTGCGTGTATAGATGTGTGTATTGGTGTATATTGGTGTATTTATGGGTATGTATTCGCAAATATATACGCTGTATGTTGTGTGTGGAGTGTGTGTGTAAGTGTGTGTGCGTGCGTGTGCGTGTGTGTCTGTGGTCGCGGCGCGTGTGTGTCTGTGCGTGCGTGTGTGTCTGTTTATTCCGCATGTTTTTTTGTGCGAGTAACGTGTATTCGTGTCCGTGCGTGTGCGTGCACTGTCCGAATCACGTGTTCACCGGGGCGTAGGAGGCATGTAGCAGCGGGGAGGATCAACGCAAGGGAAAAAGCGCGGAGTCTTGCACAACGTGAGGTTCCGGAGGGCGAGCTCGCGACCCTGACGCCAGGCCCGGCCGGGGGAGGAGGCTGGTTCAGGTTTGTTATTCCTTTTCGTCTTCTTTTTTTAATTTTCTTTCGTCGGGAATTCGTTTAGTTGGATGCGGTTGAGGTGGGGATTGTTATTATTATTATTATTATTATATATTTTTTTTTAGGTCGTTGTACGGTGTGTCTGTCTGTTTTGGCCGAGGAGTTTGCGTCGTATTGAAAAGATGGTAAATAAGGGATAGAGAGAGAGAGAGAAAGAAAGAGAGAGGAAGGGAAAGAGGAAGGGAGAGGGAAAGAAAGGAGAGGGAGAAGGGAAAGAGGGAGAGGGAGAGGAAAGAAGGAGAGGAGAGGAGAGGGAGAGGGAGAGGGAGAGAAAGAGAGAGGGAGAGGGAGAGGAGAGGAGAGGGAAAGAGAGAGGAGAGGGAGAGGGAAGGAGAGAGAGGGAGAGGAGAAAGAGAGGGAAAGAGAGAGGGAGAGGAGAGGGAGAGGGAAAAGAGAGAGGAGAGGAAGAGAGAGGGAGAGGGAGAGGAGAGAAGAGAGAGGGAGAGGGAGAGGGAGAGAGAGAGGGAGGAGAGAGAGGGAAAGAGAGGGAGAGGGAGAGGGAAAGAGAGGGAGAGGGAGAGAGAAAGAGGAAGGGAGAGGGAGAGGGAAAGAGAAGGGAGAGGGAGAGGAAGAAGAGAGAGGGAGAGGAGAGGGAAGAGAGAGGGAGAGGGAAGGGAGAGAAGAGAGGGAGAGGGAGAGGGGAAAGAGAGAGGGAGAGGGGAGAGGGAAAGAGAGAGGAGAGAGAGGGAAGAGAGAGGGAGAGGGAGAGGGAGAGAAAGAGAGAGGGAGAGAAAGAGGAGGGAGAGGGATAGAGAAAAGAGAAGAGAGGGAGAGAGAAAAGAGAGAGGGGAGAAAGAGGAAAGAGAGGGAGAGGGAAGAGAGAGAGGGAGAGGGAGAGAGGAAAGAGAGAGAGAGAGAGAGAGAGAGAGAGAGAGAGAGAGAAGAGAGAGAGAGAGAGAGAGAGAGAGAGAGATGAGAGGGGGGGGAGAGAAAAAAAAAAAAGAGAAGAAAGAGAAAGAAATAGAAGTGATTCAAAAGAGAGTGTAAACAAGCGAACGAGTGTTGATGAAGAGAACAAGCGGATGTTGGGTGCGCGGGGGGGCGTCGATCCCTTCAAACACTCCCCTCACGTCCTTGCCTCTCTCCCTCTTCTTCTTCTTCTTCTTCTTCTTCTTCTTCTTCTTCTTCTTCTTCTTCTCTTCTTCTTCTTCTTCTTCTTCTTCTCTTCTCTTCTCTTTCTCCCACATCCACCGTCTACTCTCTCGTTCTCTCTGACAGCCTCCTGCTTTCTTCTTGCTTTTCTCATCTCTACTTTCTCTCGCTCCTCTCCACTTTTCCCTTCATTCCCTTCCACAATCTCTCTCCTCTCCACTTTTTTCCTTCTCTCCCTTCCCCGTTTCCACTTTCTTCCTCTCCATTTTTCCTTTTCTCCCTTCCTATTTCCCTCTTTCTTCCTTTCCTTTCCTCCTATCTTCCCTTTCGCCTTTCATCCATCCCCTTCGTATTCCCCTCTTTCTGCCCTCCCTTCCCTTAATCTCTCCCGTTTCTCCCCTTGTCCCCGCATGACCTCCCCCCCCCCCCGCCCACTCACGACCCCCCCCCCCCCGCCCACTCACGACCCCCTACACAGCCTAGGTCACAGGCAGCCTGGAGTGCATCTCCTTGCTCGCAGTGTCACGGGGTAGGAGTTGGCGAGAAGAGTGTTTTATAGCAATGTGGTGTGTATTGATTTAAGTGCACACAAACGCTTGCACACTTGCACATACACGTACCACGCACGCACGCACACGCACGCCACACACACACACACGCACACGCACACACATCACACACACACACACACACACACACACACAACACACACACACACACACACACACACACACACACACACACACACACACACACACACACACACACACACACACACCGACACACCACAACCGAATGGGTCCACAGGTGTGGTAAGCGTCGAAAAAAGTAGCGTTTGCTCGATGTCACACCTTTTGGAGACTTCTTTATTATTTATTATTATTATTTATTCATTTCCTTCAGCCTCATGTCCGTGCAAGTTTGTTTTCTCGTTTTTTTCTTCGTTTTTTTTTTTCTTCCGCGAATAAGCTCTGAGTTTGGGAAATGTGGAGTTATGCAGGGAGTTTAATGGCATTGGAATCATGGCGTCATGCGGGAGGATAGGAGGTGCTGGAAGACGCCATGCACAGGAGGAAGGATTTTGCACGTCGGGGGGGGGGGGGGTCGCCGGCGAGACACGCCCTTAAGGCAGGGATTTAATGTGTTCGGTGTTTTGTTGCGTGGAGAGGGTTTTGTGGTGTGTGTGTGGTGTGTTGTGTTGTGTGTGTGTTTTTTGTGTTGTGTGTGTTGTGTGTGTTTGTTGTTTGTGTGTGTGTGTGTGTGTGTGTGTGGTGTGTGTGTGTGTGGTGTGTGGTTGTGTGTGTGTGTGGTGTGTGTGTGTGTGTGTGTGTGTGTGTGTGTGTGTGTGTGTGTGTGTGTGTGTGTGTGTGTGTGTGTGCTATACAATATATACCTAAAGAAATGCATATACCATACATTTATTACTTTGTTATTGTCATCTTATCTACAAACATATTTATCATACCATTTCATTTATACTTACCTCCCCTTTACCCTCATTCTCTCCGTGCTCAATGCTCCCTCTAACCCCCCACCCACCCCACCCTCTCTCTCTCTGCGCAGCAATATATCTCTTTAAAAAAAAAAAAGTTATTCAAAAGAATGTCCTGTTGAAAACATATGTTATAAGTCACCTCCTGAAACTTTATATTTTATTGTCGAGATTGGAAAACAAGATCACGTGTGGTATGTCTTTTTATTTCTCTCTCGCAGTCTGTCTGGCATTAGAGCCTCGGTAGCCAGGGGGAAGGTAGTCATGTGAGTGAGACCTTACCCGGCTTTTCATTTCTTTGTTTGCTGTTTACTGTTTTTTTATGGTTTTGGTGATGGATGTTATTGTTGTTATTATTGTTATCACGGTTATTTTATTATTATTGTTACTGTTGTTGTTGTTTATTATTGTTATTATTATTATTATTATTATTATTATTATTATTATTATTATTAATATTATTTTTTATTGTTATTATTATTATTATTATTTTATTATTATTATTATTTTTTTTTTTTTTTATTATTATTATCATTATCATTATCATATTATCATTATTGATTATTGTTATTGTTATTGTTATTGTTATTATTATTATTATTATTATTATTATTATTATTATTATTATTATTATTATTGTTATTGTTATATTATTATTGATTATTGTTATTATTTTATTATTATTGTTATTATTATTGTTATTGTTATTATTATTGTTATTATTATTATTATTATTATTATTATTATTATTATTGTTTATTATTATTATTATTATTATTATTATTATATTATTATTATTATTGTCATCATTCATCATTCATCATCATCATCATCATCTCATTCATCATCATCATCATCATCATCAGTAGTTGTTGTTATTTTAATTGTTATTGTATTATTTACTACTACTACTATTACTATTACTACTATTACACTTTATTGCTATAACCACTTCTACTACTATTATTACTTCTACTACTACTACTACTTCTACTACTGTTATACTTACTACTACTACTATACTACTACTACTACTACTACTACTACTACTACTACTACTACTACTACTTATTACTACTACTACTACTACTACTGCTGTTGCTAACTACTACTACTACTACTACTACTACTACTACTACTACTACTACTACTACTACTACTACTACTACTACTACTACTACTACTACTACTACTACTACTTCTTCTACTACTACACTACTACTACTACTACTACTACTACTACTACTACTACTACTACTACTACTACTATTTCTACTACTACTATCTACTACTGCTGTTGCTGCTATAGTGTATTTTATAGTTATTATTATTATTATTATTATTATTATTATTATTATTATTGTTATTGTTATTGTTATTACTACTGTCATTGTTATTGTTATCATTGATGTTATTATTATTGTTGTTGCTGCTATTGTTGTTTTGTTATTGTTACTGTTATAGTTTTTATTATTATTATTGTTATTGTTGTTATCATCATCATCATTATCATTATTGTTAGTTATATTGTTAATTTTAAAGTTTTATAGTTAATGCTATTGTCTTTTATTATAATAATTATAATAATGATTTTATTAACAATGATGGTAATAATGATAATAAAAACAATCATTATTATTGTAATTGTTTTTTATTAGTATTGATAGATACGGAAGACGATGAGGAGGGAATATAGACAATTATTCTGATTTGTAGGTTTTTGCTAATTGATTACAGGAAAATATTCCGAATGTAGGCTATTTAATTGCTCATTTGTTTATTTTGTTTCATGTTTATCCTCTTTTCATCTCACGATAATTCTCTTCTCTTCACCCGTTTCTAACCTCCACCATATCATCGCCATCACCATAACCTTCATCATCAACGTCATCTTCCCGCAAATAAAGAATTTAGATAACTTTTTTTTTTTGTGTCTGCGTTTACCTAAGATAAATCAACCTCGCGCTAAACAAGGGGACTTTCTAAACAAAGACGAAGGTGGGGTGTGGGGGGTGGGGGATGGGGAACTTAAACACGCATACAAATGTTCAAATGATCAAAGAACTTGAAAGTCTGGGACAACTAATGGTTTTTACTGGGCCATTAAGTCCCTTCTCGTAAGCTAATCTTTGCCGTATTCCCCTCTAAAAAAAACACACAAAAAAGTAAAAACAAATGCATTTCAAAATAAAAGCTTTTAAGAATGTTATTTTGATGTGATGTTTTTTTTTTGAGGCTTTTATTTTCACAGTGCGTTTATTTATTTGTTTGTCTGGGGAGATAATTGCTATTACTCGTGAAAGTTGCGTACCGATTAGGTTTTGCAATTCCTCATATATTGAAAAAAAAAAAAAAGATAAGTAAAGCAGCATTAATTTTCTGATGGACGTTGGTATAACTTTTATTTATTTATTTGTTTATTTGGTCAGTTGAAGTTGAGGTGGGAGTGACACCAAGACCCGAGTTGATCGAGTTTTCTTGTCGATCCGCTCGGTTCTCACGTCGCGGGAATCTCGGCGCGAAACTCTACGGAAAGGACGCGTCGCATTTCACTTCCCGCCAAGAACCGTGTGATTATTTTATTGCATCTGATACATTGGAAGATATACTCATGCTGTATCCTAATTTTAATGTGTAAAGCTATCATAATCAAAGAGCATACCACAGAACACTCTTATGTAAACACAAAGGCAAAGGTAGATCAACTTAGGTAATATACGTTTGCATGCTGTATGACATATTCCCATTTTACCATGTATAATTACTGTAATCACAGAATAAAGTACTCTGTCGAATGTGTGTGAATATATGTAACACTGTAATCACGATTCCTCATGCCTGAACAGTTAGCAAGGGTGATAAATAGACTTACTTAACGCCAAATAAACTTACTTAACGCCAAATAAACTTGCTTAACGCCAAATAAACTTACTTAACGCCAAATAAACTTACTTAACGCCTCCAAGGGTGCCGGGGAAATGATCGGAAAATCTTTGCACTCAATAGGGTTGTTGAGAGCCACCAATAACTCAGAGGAGTGTAATTATAATTGGTATCCGACTTACAGGTTAGTTCGCATATGTGATTTTTTGTTTTCGAATTGCGTAAAGGGATTTGGAATTAAGGATTATGCGATTTTTTTATTTTTTTTTTTAGGTTCGTACTGTGTTTTGACGTTTAAGATATGGACTTACGTGTTACAGTATTAACGTTAATGAGATGCTATAGATACAGAAAAAAAACAGATATACGATACCATAAGTGTATAACTCCTTGTTCAGAATATAGACAGATTTTAATGTATAATCCACAAGACTTTTATAGAAGTGAACATTAAACTGTTTACATTAGTACTCTATAGTGATAGAATAGAGCTGTCAGTGGGTTTAGATGATTCTGCTAAGTTGATTGTAAAAATTCTGAATTGAAGGCATTTCTGTAGTGTTATTTTGATCGAATTTACATTTATTTGAGTTTGCAATTCAGATGTGGTTTTATTCTGATTGTTTTTTATTTTTATCTTTAGGTAGTACGGGCAAATTGATACATAATTCTTGATTAAAAAAGAGGAAATATGTAAAATGATCATAATAATGGTAGTGATAACAAGGGTAATGATTATAAGGATAAAGATAATTTTAATTATGATAATATTGATGATAATGATAAATGTAATAATAATGATAATAATGATGATACTGATGATAATGATGATACTGATACTGATGATAATAATAATCATAATAGTAATAATACATCGCGATCCCCATACTTATTTAGCCTCTGAAAATGATTGCTACCTAACTCACTCTCTCTCTCTCTCTCTCTCTCTCTCTCTCTCTCTCTCTCTCTCTCTCTCTCTCTCTCTCTCTCTCTCTCTCCTCTCCCTCCCTCCTCCCTCCCTCCCTCTCTCACCCTCACCCTCCCTCTCCCTCTCCCTCTCTCTCTCTCCCTCCCTCTCTCCTCTCTCTCTCTGTCTCTTCTCTCTCTCTCTCTCTCTCTCTCTCTCTCTCTCTCTCTCTCTCTCTCTCTCTCTCTCTCTCTCTCTCTCTCTCTCTCTCTCTCTCTCTCTCTTTCCTCCTCCCTCCTCCCTCTCCTGATCGATTGGTCTCCAGTCTTTCATGATGTTCCTCCACCTTTTCTTATTTATTACGAAATTTTCTGCCACGCCTCCACCTTTCCTGCCAACTTCGTCTATCATTAGCATTTATCCCTTACTTGGAGAGGGAGAGAGAGAGAGACAGAGACAAAGACAAAGATAAAGACAAAGGCAGACACAGACAGACAGACAGACAGACAAAGAGAGAGAATTAAACATATAGATATTTAGATCCAGAAAGAAATCAAACAAGGAACCTCCGATACTCTATTACTATCTGTTAATATGTGGCCTCCCACGTCGTCGTCGTCGTCGTCATCATCATCATCGCAGTCGTCGCAGAAGTCGTGTTGGGAAGATGCTTAGGCTGCGAGTTATTGGCCCCCGCGGGCTCATTAAGCTCTTGCGGCCCACGATTTATATTGTGTGACCAACATAGAGATGTCTTGTTTTGTCATAAGGCGCTCCATTAATTAGCTTAACGGGCTCGAGCGCTTGTACATACTCTCTTTTGCCACCCCGCTTTAAATACTACTCATTTTTGGGGCCAACCGCGCTCCCCCTCCCTCCCTAGAACCCGCCCTACGAACGCCTCGAGCCCTCATGACCGGCCTGACCCCTCAACTCTCCTACAAATCTGCCCCACGAAGCCCGAAACCACCTACACCCACACCAGACCTTCAGCCCGCGCAACTTCACCTACTAACGGGGTCAAGGCACCCACCCCGACGCTAACCCAACCCCTACACGCCACCCCGAATCAACCCCATATCGCGAAGCGCACAGAGCACCTCTGGACTTGCGCACCAACGCCCCAACCCACCGGCCCAACCCCCGGAGACAACCGAGCCCACCCACGACCTCAACCCAAACCGGGGTGCCACTCAGAAAAACAAGCCACCACCCAGACCGTGTGCATACCTCCCAACTCGGCGAGCTACAGCCCACCTCCGATCCGTGCGAAGACGCGACGCAGTTGGGACTGTTCCTTCCCAACTCCCTGCTGCTACCTCTCTCTTCCTACCCCCAACTATCCCACCACTGTTCTCTGCGACCGAGTTCAAGCCGCATAAAACTCCCCTACACCCACCCCCGACCTCAACCCAACCCCTACAACCTCTACTTCTGATCTCAACGCCCACACTCCCCAACACGCGTTGTTATTATTATCTCACCCAACGCCCTCAACAACCTTCATGTCCTCGACCTTGACAACCCCAACCCCCTACACCCACGTCTAACGTATCCTCAACCCCAGACCTCCCCTACATCTCCTTCACCCAATTGATCAACTTCAAAACCCCAACTTCCGTCAACACCCACACTCAACCTCGCCAACAACCCACAACCCAATACCCCAAACACCCACCCCGACCTCAACCCCAACCCCCTACTAAGCCGTCCACTCCCGACCTCAACCCAACCCCCTACAGTATTGTTCACTCCCCTCCGATTCTGTCTAACTTCCCTAACCCTGTTCTTTAAGGTCCCAAACACGCTACACGCCGCTGTACATTCTAACCTCCACCTACACGCCACTCCCGACTCTTCAACACTCCAATCCCCCTACAACTTAATGACCCCGATCTCATACCCCAACACTCCCAACATCCTACACTCGCCGATTCCTCATCAACCTGCCAAACTCCCCTACAACCCACTCCCCGACCTCAACCTCAACCCCGCTTCGGAGCACCTACCTCTCGACCTCAATCCTCCACCCCACATATCTCGCGTGTTTGAGTCCCCCGCCTACGCTACCTACACCCACCCCAACCCCTACCACCACCCCGACCTCAACCCCAACGCCCCAACTCCCGACGCCTCTACCTAACTACACCATTTTTTCCCGGCCTCTTTCTCTTCTTAGTTGTTTGCCTCTTGATACTTTGGAACAGGTTTTGTGGCCTTCTGCGGTGTCACAATCTGCACACATGGGCGGTATTCTTTTACATGCGTTTCTGTTTACTACCCCCTTCTTGGACGGCTCTGGGAGGTAAGTGAAACGAGGAAGGTTGGGATCGGAAAGAGTGTGGGGGGGGGAGAAAGGGGTGTGGGATAGAGGGAAGAACGTAGGGAAAGGGAGAGAGAGATGTGAGGAAGGGATGGAAGTATGAGAGAGAGAGAGCAAGAGAGAGAGCAGCGCGTAATGGGAGAGTTCAGTAGAGAGATGAGAGTATAACGTATTATTGACTCGAGAGATGATTGAGTAGGGGGAGGAAAGGAATAGTAGAAAGTATGAGGGAAAAGATTCGTCATGAGCTGTGAGGGTATTGATCTCTACCCCGTACATCGGTCTTCTCTCTCCGTCCTCTCTCTCTCTTCTATCTCATCTCGATCTCCTCTCCGCTCTCTCTCTCTCTCTCTCGAGTTCCTCTCTCTCCCTCGCTCTCTGTCTCTGGCTCTCTCTCTCCTACACTCATCTCTCTCATATCTATCCTATGTATCTATTCTATCTATCTCTATTCTCAATCTCTCTCGTCGTCATCTCTCTCGATCTCATCTGAGCTCGGCTCTATCTCTCTGCTCTAATCTAGATCTATCTATAGCATATGCATCATATCATCTCGTCAATCCCGCACCTAGAGGAATAATGGTATTATTCACAAGGAATTACAAAAAAGTTCGAGTGTTGTTATGCTTGTTAGAATCTCGGAATATTACTCAAATAGGGTGAGTTATCCGAGACTTTTAACCCACATAAAGAGATTATTTGTAGAGTGTGACTTGAGTTGATACATAGGATTTCGCCGTTTAACGCATGTGGAAAGAAAGTTGAAAATTAAAACTTTAATAAAAGACAAAGAGAGAGAGACGCGGAGCGGGTATTGTGACGGCTGAGGATGGATGTAATGAGAGAATATCAACACAATGCCCACACCGATCATTTATACAGGGAGGCCAGAGGGGAGCGAAACTCGGTTATCAAGGAGAGAGAGGGAGGGAGCGGAGGAAGTAGAGAGAGGGAGAAAAGAGAGACGAGGATCAGCGGTAGAATGTGAGAGGACGACGAACGACGACGACGCTAATTCAGATTTATTACCGGAGGCGTACTTATGTTGTAAAACAAGAATCATCTGCACGAGGCGACGACCGACAGATCATTGTGCAGATAAGTAACTGCTAATAAGAGAGACGAGGGCAAGGGTTGGTAGAGCTAACGGCGCAAAGTTTAGAAGTTAGGAGGAGAAAGTCGGAAGCCATAGGGAAGAGAAAATTGAGAGAGTAAAAAAGCGCGAGAATGATGGTGAAATCGCAAGTGAGGGAAGTGTGAGGAGATGAAGGAAAGAACAGTAACAGAGAGGGAAGGGCGAGAAAGATGAGTGGTAAGAAAAGGAGAGCGGGTAGAGGTGAGACGGTCCTTAGAATAAAAGAGGGAGAAGATTGGGAGGGATGAGGAATAGAGATGAGGTCGAATAGTACAAAGAAAGGAATTCAACGGTATAACCTGAGAGACAGAGAAGGACGGGGGAAGAAGAGGGAGAACGCACTGAGATGAGGGAGAGGAGAAAAGGAGAACCAGCACTCGTAGGGGATATCACCGATGCCATGCACAAGCACTCTGCATTAAAAGCGTGAGTGATGCATCACGTCTGAACAGTGCTCGCCCTCAGGGTCGGCCACGTCCCACTCGGCAGGGCCCGTCTCCACATCATTTCTTGTTTAATTATATATGATAACCCCATATGCCCCGACGATAACACAGGGGCATCATTTTAATCTTTTTCCCCCCTCCCCCACCCTAATGGAACATTTGCTATCCCTTGCTCTATCTGATCGTTGGAATCATGGCGAGTTAACCCCGCGCGGAAGGTTGAGGTGGTGGTTGAATTAGCCTAGTGGTAGAATTGTTAGTTTTTCGGGACGATTAATCTTCTCTCGAATAGAATCGATATATCACCGAGATCGCGGGGCCCCCCCCTCTCTCCCCCCACCATTTGTTCCTCTTTTTGCTAATCTTTGTGCCATTTGTTTTAACTATCCTAGAGGTCGCCAGGAAGTGGGTATGACAGCGGGCCACGATTACTAACACTCAGAACGCCACAGTTACGACTGTGACTGTCCAATCCCACTCCACCAGTCTGTCTTCCTTGAGCCTCCCTCCTATCACGCCGGTCTCCGCTGCTCCCTATCCGCTTCCCTTTCCCTTCCTAACCAATCACTAGCCGGTCACGCCGACCTCTCCATGCCAGCGCACACTCACGCTCGCGCCGTCTCGAGAGGAATTTAGCCAATCGCGGCCGGGACGACGGCGGCACGAGGTGGAACAAGTCTGGGGATCCTGGGAGTGATGACCCTGTCCCGACCCCCCCTAAGTCTACACAAAGGGCCGCCTCCTCTTCCCGGAAACAGGACCTTACCGCCCGCCCGCTCCCGCTTCCGCGAAAACCTTTTACGCCCCCTCACCACCGCTTACCCGAAAACACACGCATTACCTTGTCCCGGCTCCGCCCTCCCCAAGGAACATGCTCAACCTACCCGCCCCCGGCACATCCTTTATACCCCAACACGCTCCTCGCCTTCCGGAAACAAACCAGATTACCGGGGAGGTTGTATATGCAACAGCCCACGTGAATATCCACTTTCCACCCGTCCACCCATTATCCCGACACCCATACCAGAGGTCGCGGGAATACCCCTTCCCCTTCCTGTAGCCTCCGGCCCGCAAACACCCCTCTGCCCACCCTCTTACCGCACTGCCCGGAAGGGTACGCTTGTAGAACTGGCCCCGTTAGGCGATGGCTAAAGTATAAAAAAAAGCGGCCTCTTGGAGGTTATTTGTTACTTCGTCCACGATGAACAAATTATACTTTATTGTGTGGCATATTTGTGGCGAGAGTTTGCAAAGCTGTGTTTATATGACGCACAGGGTGTATATACGGCGTTCTGCTGATGAACCTCTTTGTTCATTTCATGTACGGTAATCCGTCCCTCAAAGGAACCGCAAAATGTCCCGAGAAGAAACAATGAACGAGCAGTGTACAGCGAACAACGACATATTAGTTACAACTTTCAAAAAAATAGGTACACTTCCATGGCAAATTCACTTTAAAATATTAGCTCATGATCTGGGCTCTGTCGCAGATTTTATCCACGGAACCTCAGCGCATACGATTCTTCTTTCAATCAAACCATGTTCATTCAGCTGTCGAAGGACTATCTGTACACAACATCATCGTCCATCCTCTTTGGATTTCTTCCCTTTCAAGATTCGTATGGAGGCGGTGTCGGGCGCCTTCGAGGAGTCCGTCAAGAGGGCGCGAAAGAGCGGTGAAAAAGAGCAAGAATATTTCCATATGTTTTGTTCGAAAGTAGGAATGTTCAAAACCATCCCCCGTCGGAGTTTGCTGCTTTCTCATCACATGCCCTACATCATCAAGTCGTGGGGTCCTGCTATTGACTACCCCAACCGATGGTGTCTATGAATATTGTTAATACCTGCTGTTAGTCCTCTGCGGTCTATGACCATACTGAGTGCACTATATGCAACTCACACTATTCCTACACTATTCACTTTTCACTCACAGAGGATGTAACTTGAACCAGATTCGAATATAATCCTTCGGTCCAGAAATACCATTTCTACTACGAAGATATATTCGAGACTGGTCAAAATTAACATCTCCTTGTAATTGTGAACATAAGGCTAATACATTGCGCAGTCCTCGGTATTGCAGGCTCCCATAACATGGGCACAATCTTCATGCGTTGGTGGTGCAGAGACCAGGTGTTATTTGGCACTTAAAATAATGGTACTACGTAAATACGTGGTCTATGCGTTTTGCTATGTGTATTCGGAGAGCGTGCGAGAGAGCAGCGGGACTAGCAGTTATTATCTCACTAAATATAATGTCTTATTCAATATGTAGGTTATAGCTAGTATTCTCCGTTATTGATACGCTAATGTAGTATAAAGGTAATAATATTAATTTCAAAATATCTGGTTGTTCTAGATTAAACTACAGAAACAGGTTACGCGGTTGGTGGATTTAGTTCAACAAATGAAGGGGGAGAGAAAAAATAAGTTGTTTGAGAGAGTAGATGAGCGAAGAGGAAAGCCGCAAAGGAGAGA